TATTGACCTCTTGAGAGGCTGCTTGGTAGCTAGAGACCTCAGACATAGTCAAACTTGAAAGGTCTCACATTTAGGGCTCTTTGTTTTAACCTGAATTTGGAGGGTTGCATTGAAAAGTCAAATACTCCGCATGCAAAAAGATTAACTTCTGAGAGGTGAAAACACAACTATAAGTTTGATAATAATGTGATTCACTAATTGTGACAGTGTGGTTAAATGTTTTAAAAAATGATAAAACAGATTTGAAAAGCATCTAGTTAAAGTACTAGTACATATTTAAAATAAATGATACTCCGTATAATTCAAAGAAAACTCACCTCACAGGGGGTTCCAAACTTCAATAAAAAAGTGAGATGAAAAGCTGGCCACCTCAACAATCTCACCACACCTCAAACAATGCAAGGCACCAAAGTGCGGGCCATGAATGTTTTATGTACAACTTTTCAACTCTCTGCAGAACAGCTAAAACAAAAGGGGGCATCGTCGGCACTCTTATGTGGCGTTAGGACTGAATTTTCAAAATTAGAAGTAAAGCTTTGGGAAGGGCAAAAGTGGTAGATTCTCTTTACTAGATGGGAATCCCCAGCAATCACATTTAGATTGAAATCACCTTTTAGGGGACTTTACTTGGTATTGAAGTAATAAACTCATTCAATTTCCATTTTAATTCAGTTACTGGTTGAATTTCCATTTTTGCTCAAGTTCTGATTCTGGACTACATGAAATACACGACTGTGCTGCTGTTCAGTTACTATATTTTGGGCGCATATCATTCAACCGAGTCTGTAGTTTAGTTCATTGCTATTTTAAGTACTGATTGGAGTGAAGTCAAATCTTTCCAAACTTTCTATTTTTATGTGGCAGGCAACTTATGAAAAGGGACCAAATGATGAGATTGAAGAGTTTCTCTATCAACTGTTAGATGTATCCGGTGACGGAATTGTTGAAAGGTAGAAGTCTTAACATCTTCATACCTCTCTTGGATTAGAAATTTAGAATTGGAAATGGATCCTTTTATTAAGAAATATTATTATTAGAAATATTGTATATTTTGAAATTTCAGTTTTCCTTATAATATTGTTATTCTTTCTCCTAACTACATTGTGGTTCACTTTCCCATTTTATAGAATTTTCTCTCCGACATAAACCCCATATGTAATCTAATTATCATCAACTCAACCAATACACTACATAGTTGTTTATCCATTATACAACTTCTACACCTCCTTGCCAAAAATTATCTAACATATATTACGTATTTTCTAGGTGTGAATTTGGGAATATCACAGGGGTGATATATTGATAAGAACTTCACAGAAATAGAACAATCACAATAGAAATGAATGCAAAACTCCAGAAACAGTAAACTTCCATTAAAATGGTAAACCGTGTACAGAGTCCCAAAGAAGGAGATAATACTCCAACTTCCCAGTCCCAGACCAAAAGTCTAAAAACAGCCTGCCCTCTCCTTCCCATACTATTCTATTTATAGACTTCCAGTACAACCTACTCTAGTTATTAGTTAATAACAGAAATATAACTAACAACTAACTCTTCTATTTATTAGTCTAATAGGTCGATCCCTATCATATATATTTACTATTTGCATATTGAGTATACTTACTATACTATGTTGATATTAGTCAGACAGATGCAGTTGCATAACCTGTGCAGTCAAAGTAATAGAGGAATGTCTTGTAACTGATTATTTTACCCCGGGGATGAATTGCAGGTCCGATCTTGAAGCTGTATTAAATGCAATGCTTGATAATATATTTTATCAAAAATGCTCTGAAGGAGGACCAGGTTCACATTCAGAAATTATTGACATATTACTCAGTGCTGCAAATTTCACAATAGATAATCAAAATCCAGCTGCAAGTTGTATGTCTTATGGGGATTTTAGGAAGTGGTGTGCAGTTCTCCCATCTGTCAGGAAGTTCCTTGGAAGTTTGCTGAAGCCATCTGACTCAGGTGCTTGATTTATTAAATTTAGCCATCCAAAATGTTGACATTCTTCTATGGTTTTATCATAATGTTTGATCTAGGTCGGATATATTAGAAAGTTCTTTAGTATGGATAGGTGAATGATGTATTTTTGTGTGTAAAGTTGGTAATTTTTCAGTGCAATCTGATTCTCTATTTTTAAATTCGTATTATATGCCTCTATATGGTACCATGTGTATATCAACATGGGGTGCTCAATTTTATAGGCCCTCCTTGTCTAATTTATGCCTTCTTATATACTTTGCCGGACAAAACGGTAAGTTTAGTTTTAGGAAAAAGATGTTACCAATGCAATTAGCAACAGTCACTGCATTGATAATCTGTTATTATCAATTCACTGTGCTGCTGTGCTGGTAACAGTTTCATCCTAAAACTCACATTTTTGTTTAATGAGTAGTTAGTTAATAGAAATAATATTTAAGAAATTGATCCTTTATTATTTCGTGGAGTATTTTTTTATTTGGAGTTGAATGTGTTATCTTTCTGGTGTAGGTTCTGACATTCCTAGATTAGTCCACCAGGACAATATTCATTCTGATATGATATTGTTAAGGAAGGAATATGCATGGCTAATTGGAGGTGCCCTCCCACACGAGGAGCTCCGTGAATGGAAGCTTCTTTATCACAGTGCAGTTCATGGCTTAAGCTTCAACACTTTCTTGGGAAGTATGGCGTAAGTCTCTTGTACTTTCTCATTTCCTCCAATAATGCATATTCTCTCTGACCCTCTCCTTGGTTGTGCATTTACTTTGCCAAGTGAGACTACTTTGTGATCAAGGTATCAAGGTCTTCTTTAACTCTTAGGAGGCCCGTGTTAATCATAAAATTTAGCTCTTATGTAGTAAAAACTATATACATATCATATAGTGTTCTTTTTAAAAATGGAAGCCTATAATGGGAATATTTAAAAAGAAATGTTTATACTACATAGACTATAATTTCAAAATTTGAGGTCTTTAAGATCAAGAGGTTTAGTACTATACTATTTCTTGCATGCCCTATTAAACGGCCACTGTGAAGCACAGAAACTGCAAGTGTTTCTTCGCCAATTCCAATGTGAATCACGGGTCACTCTTGAGTGTTTCTTCGCCAATTCCAATGTGAATCACGGGTCACTCTTGAGTGTTTCTTTGTGAATTCCACTGTGAGGCACGGGTTCTCTGACTGTTTCAAAAATAGCTTATCAGCCAATCCTAAAGTTATCAAACGGGCTCTAAATGTAACTGACTTTTATAGTGAACTGCGGAAATGAGTGTCTAACTGACTTTTATAGTGAACTGCAGAAATGACAAATGTTCTGCCGTGTTAATCATAAAAGACAAGAATGGTGATACATATGGGGGTTATGCTTCTCAGCCATGGGAGAGACATGGTGAATTTTATGGAGATATGAAGTCATTCATCTTCCAACTTTACCCAAAAGCATCAATTTATCGCCCCACAGGAGCAAACTACAATATACAGTGGGTGAGCTAAGCTGGACATTCCCCATAATTCTCTTTATTCTTTTTTTTTTTTTCTGTTCGTAGCTTAGGTTGAAAGAGACAACACTCAAAAGGCAATTTGATCTGATTATAGGAACTTCTGTTTGGCAGTGTGCTGTGAATTTTAGTTCAGAAAGCATTCCCAATGGAATAGGGTTTGGGGGTAGAGTGAATCATTTTGGTTTGTTCATATCAGCCAATTTTGATCAAGGCCATACTTTCCCCTGCACCACATTCGGAAGCCCTAGCTTGTCGGGATGCAACATCATATATCCAGAAACGATTGAGTGCTGGGGAGTCCAAATCAAGAAAGCTCAAGAAGAAACACATCATGATCGCATAAAAGGTTCTGTTCTTGAAAGATTCAAAGAGGATAAAAATATGCTTAATATGGTTGGCCTTGCAAATTCAAGCGACTGAGTGATCTGCCATTCTGCCCTAATTCCTCGCATTGATGGAACTTATAATAAACGTGTATGTTGGTGACTTGTTGTTGAATATTTAAACACTGTCAGTATAATTTATAGAATCATACAAAAATAGCTACTCTTCGGGGGTCACTAGTTTTTAGTTGCAAGAACTTAATTTTTTTACTTTATGATGTAGGTTGTACTGTGAGCCAAAGCTCATAGTAGAACACTGAAAATTAAGCTTGAAAAGTTCATAGACCTATATTGGCGGTTTTAAAAAAAAGACAGAAAAAAGCAGAAGGTTACCGTTGGTGCACACTTTCGTGTTTAGGGTTTTTAATTACTATGATAAATCAAGCTATCCAGACTATTTTGAAGCCCAGTTGTACCATGGTCAGTACAAAAATGAGCATGCAATGTTTATTACAAACATGTTTTTTTAAAGAAATTTTAAAGCGCAAAACATGTAATATAATGAAATTCGACTCTAGTACTCCCTCCGTCCTGGAATTATCTTCATTTTTTCCTTTTTGGTTCGTCCCAAATTTATCTCCTTTTTCTCTTTTTGGTAAAGAATATGTGGTTCACAACCATTCTTACACATTTCTCTCTCCTCTGCATAATTCTCCACCACACAAATCTCACTATCTTAAAACTCGTGCCCGGTCAAAACCGGAGTTAAATATGGGACGGAGGGAGTATTTGATATACAAAAGTACAAAACTGGACCATAAAAGATGGTTGGATTAAACACAATAAAAAGCCGACCGGAATGTGGGGGACAAAACTTCTTATCCATTTGCGCAAAACAGTGCATAAACTTTGAAAAAAAAATGCAATGAAAAATTCGGTGCATTAGCCCTGTGATTTAAAAAATGCACCAAATCCCCTTGTGTTTTAATTAATCAAGCACATAACCCTTTTTATGAATAAATTTAACGATTTGAAAACCACTTTTCCTAATATTCTGATTGAATATGCGAGTAAATATGTCAAAATCTCTAAATCATACAAAAATGTTAATCATTTTTCTTTTATTTGACAATTGAATTTATTCATAAAAAGGATTCTGTGCATGATTAATTAAAACACAAGGGGGTTTGACACATTTTTTAAATCACATGGTGCTAATGCGCCGAATTTCCATATCATATGGGGTCGGTGCATTAAACCCTTCCCATAGGTAGTAAATTCAACTGGTTTCAGATTTCTTGGACTTCTTAATCTCTCTCCTCCTTTCCTCCAAGCGAGCGACTTTATCCTTCTTACGTTTTATTCCAATCTCCATTGCCTCTTTGATTTTCCTCATTTTGCGGGACATGGCCAATTTTGGACATTGTCTCATCATCGTTGACAATTTGTTGTGTATCAGGAACAAATTCAGGACTACCATTGTTGTCCTCTGAAAGATCATTCTCACTCTCTTTGGAAAGTGCCGGGCATTGAACGCCTTGAAGCTCCTTTTTTAATTCTTCATGATACTGCTTCTCTAGAGCAGACATGATTTGCTTTTTCTGAGCAGCTTCAATAGCTTTTGCACGGTCACTAATACCCTCCATCAGTCTATTCTGAGGATCATCCAAATCTTCTGCACCAAGACCAGGCATTGGGAGCACTTCTTTTGTTGCAGCAGTGCATATTGGCTTGATGGTCTCAGCATATTCATGCATATAACTAGGGATGGACCCAACCGGGCCGAACCAGCCTGGGAACCGGCCGGCCCGCTACTGTGCGGGTCCGGATGGCCGGTTCCGGACTTTAGTCCGGTTTGGGCGGGCCAGGCTCAGGCCTTGATTTTCATGAACCGGCCCGAGGTTTTTTTTTTTGTTTTTTCAATTTTTTTTCTTTTCCTTGGGTAGGGCTGGCCCGACTAGGTGTTTTGGGGAGGTTTGAGGGGTGGGAGGTGAGGGGAGTCGGGGCTTAATTAGAAAGCCCCAAAAAAAATGCATTCAACCGGCCCGGACCAGCCCAGCTCGGTTTGGCCCGGACCCGGTATCAACTCGGGCCGGTTCCGAGCCCAACATTCCGAAAAAAGCCCGTCCGAACCGGCCCGGAGCCCGAACTGGCCCGAGCCCGGTCCATGCCTACATATAACCTTCTGTTTCATTGTCACCAAAAGGGGAGAAGTGTGGAGGGGGACCCTCCCAACAAAGTAAGGCTCAGTAGGCAATTTGATGCGATTGTTTATGCAATCATAAGCCCACTGTGGTTGAACATATTCCCGATAAAGAAATCTGCGACCCTGTGTTGGCCTATCAACGATCTAATGAGTAATACTCTGATCAGATTCATTAAATGGGGCTCCTTCTCCTTCCCACGAGACAATACCACCAAAAACAGGGATAACAAAAAGAACAGACTCCCTGGGAACCTCACGACTTAGGAAGAATGTCAATCCTTCAAAGAGGGACTTGCATTCCTTTGTTTCAGCATCATCATCATCCTCGCCAGCTTCCTCGTTAAGTAGGTGCATCAAAGCACCTGGCTCATTTGAAGGAAGTTGGTGTTGAAGCTGTGCAAGTCTCAGATCCGACTCCTCAAGCGCTCTCTGCGTCTCCTAATCATCAGTCTTCACAGACTCAGATAGATCAATGGCTTCAGACTCCACACCAGAAGCTCTGTTTCTTGCATCAAATAGCTTCGACAGTGCATACAGATCAGTGGCGGAACCAGGACACGTGACTCGCATGAGTACAATTAACAAAGAAATGATATACTAGTATAGAAAAAAAATCATAGGCATCACGAATATAGCAATAAACAAAACTATAAAATTTAAATAAAACAACTACTTAAAGAGTACCTTAATTTTGATTAGAACCTGACGCGGCAAATGAATGACAATCATTGAGAGACGACAATCTTTGTCTTCAAGGTGCCATACTCTGAAATCGCCTCATTATGACTTCATTCTCAATTTTAACAAATACATCTTTCTCAATGTAACACACCAAGCAATCTGTCAAGTATTCTTCTCCAATCTTGTTGCGCAAATCATTCTTGATAAACTTCATCGTCGAGAAAGATCTTTCAACTGTGGCGGTTGTAACGGGTAAAACCAATGCCAATTGGATGAGTCGGTACACTAACTTATAAGTTTTGTGACACTCTGTTTCAACTAATGTTTTTGGCAAATCTCCAATACTTTGTAGGCCTGAAAATCGTGGAGATGATTTGACAAATGTAATGAACATCCTAAGTTGTTCATTTAGTTCAAATTTTTCTCTTGAACTAAAATCATCTGGGTATAGATTAGCAAGACGAAGTAGTCGCTTCACATCAAAATTGGAGAATGAGTCTTTGGGACTTAACGATGCTATGCACATTAGATGCTGCATCTTTAGCAACACTATACTCCAACCAATTAAATTCATCAAACCACTGTTTTTGGAATGATCTATTGCGTCCATTAAAATCACGTTGTGGAAATTTAAAGTCACGCGGTTGGCAAGGACCTTTTGTCAAATAACGTCTCCTCAACTCATCTCTAATATTAACATCATAAGTCTCAATCGGCTTACGCAATCCAGGATCACCAACAATGTCATCATCCGACAATTCAATCTCTATTCGAGCTTTTTTAACATTAGTCTCATTGTTAGGAATGACATTTTTCGATGAAGAAATTAAATTATTCGATGAAGAACCACCAATGATAGGCTGTTTCGGTTTCGGCGGAATTGCCGAAAAATATCGTAACATAGCGATTGTTTGTAACACAACCTAGACCAACTACAATTGAAATTTGAAATAATATGAGTATAATTTTTCAAATTTGAACTATTCAAGTATTCAACATTTAAACCATAAGTGATAACTCACACAACATATACGAATCAATGATTCAATGAAGCATAAATCATTCATGATTCATCAACAAATCAACAATTAAAAAAAAATTAAAACATACCTTCAGTGAGTTCAGTCGGCAGACTCGGCACTGCCGCAGGCCCGCAGCTCGCTGCCTTCCTCACCTTCGTTTCGTCAATCGTCACTTCGTGGGACTGTGGGAGACGGCCGACGGGGACTAGGAGTTCGGAGTTCCTGGCGTGGCCATGTGGGCGGTGGGCGGTGCCGCAGATCGCAGTGAGCGTGGCTGCGTGGTCGGCTGGTCGCGTCTCCGTCTCGCCTCTCGGCGTCTCGGTCTCGCCTCTCGCTGTCTCGTCTCGCGTGCAGGGGTCGCCGGGTCGGGAAAGGCCAAAAGGGGGGAAGCGGGGAACGGGATTTGGGATTTGGGAAAGGCCGAAAGGGGGAACGGGAATGGGAAAGGGCCAAAGGGGGAACGGCAATTTGGGCCGAGCAGACAACTGGACAAGGGAAAGGGGGAATTGGGATTGGGCTGCAGGGGCCCAAGTTAATAAAAATTAATATATATATATATATATATATTAATATATATATATATATATATATATATATATATATATATATATATATATATATATATATATATATATATATATATATATCACTGGGGGGCCCGGGCACCCCCTAGCCCTAGGGTGGGTCCACCCCTGATTGGTGCGTACAATCCCATAAAAAACCAACCAAATCAAGTGATGGGAAAAGCTCCTGGTGTCGATTTCCGTTGGTCAATCTAGAGTTAAGATACGATTGTGTAGAATAAATTCATTCCTACACACATTATGATGATTGCTCTATTGTATTAACAATCTCATAACTAACATGTAGGAACACCAAAATAACATGCCCGTTATGGAAAGAGTATTCAGCGCAATTTCTGGATTTTATTAAAACAACTAGGCATGATCCCATTATTGTGCTACTCCAGTTTTGTCGGATAAATAAGCATTATGGTATTCCTACATCCCTTCTAAGTCTCAGATTATGTTTTCAATGTCTTACATTTGCTAATTTCGTTTCGACGATGCAACTAGTGACCTAATGAAACTGTATATTTCATTTAGTCGGTGATACGTAGGGTGTGTCGTCTGCATGGCAGTTTACAAAGTTATTAATTGATGAGAACATCCTTGAGATTGAAGAGTTTCGAAGCCGGTGTGGATACTTTTTATCTTGGTGTTGCGGTATAGTGTTGTCCTTAATTTATTTTACATTATTCAATCTTACATTTTCTGTTATTTCAATCATTTGTTGCAGTTATATGATGGCCGTACCTGGATTCGCAGGCGGACGTGGTGGATTCGCTGGTGATCGTGGTGGATTCGGTGGCGGCGGCCGGTACTGAAGGGCTCATATTCTTCTTTTTTCCTAAATATATCAATCAGTTCAGTTTAGGCAACACTTTTCCAACGCTTTTCCAGCAGAACCAGAACTCAAAACATTGGAAAAGCGTTGCCTAAACTGAACTGATTGATATATTTAGGAAAAAAGAAGAATATGAGCCTTTCAGTACCGGCCGCCGCCACCGAATCCATCACGATCACCAGCGAATCCACCACGTCCGCCTGCGAATCCAGGTACGACCATCATATAACTGCAACAAATGATTGAAATAGCACAAAATGTAAGATTGAATAATGTAAAATAAATTAAGGACAACACTATACCACAACACCAAGATAAAAAGTATCCACAACGGCTTCGAAACTCTTCAATCTCAGGGATGTTCTCATCAATTAATAACTTTGTAAACTGCCATGCAGATGACACACCCTACGTATAACCGACTAAATGAAATATACAGTTTCATTAGGTCACTAGTTGCATCGTCGAAACGAAATTAGCAAATGTAAGACATTGAAAACATAATCTGAGACTTAGAAGGGATGTAGGAATACCATAATGCTTATTTATCCGACAAAACTGCAGTAGCACAATAATGGGATCATGCCTAGTTGTTTTAATAAAATCCAGAAATTGCGCTGAATACTCTTTCCATAACGTGCATGTTATTTTGGTGTTCCTACATGTTAGTTATGAGATTGTTAATACAATAGAGCAATCATCATAATGTGTGTAGGAATGAATTTATTCTGCACAATCGTATCTTAACTCTAGATTGACCAACGGAAATCGACACCAGGAGCTTTTCCCATCACTTGATTTGGTTGGTTTTTGATGGGATTGTACGCACCAAGCCACCAATAACATCTAAATTTAATTAAGGGTAATGTTAGAACATAAAGTGATAAAAAATGTAGTCCTACCAACATTTAGATATTGTTTTAGAAAGGTACCAATCAAATCGGGCGCTTCAACATCTGGGGAATTGATAATATCTGCATAGGCTATGATATTATAAATGCTCTTTGGAATTTCACGATATTTTTCATTTGTCTGAAGCAGGACTTTTGTTTTTTCGGTGAACAACACAAAGAATGGATGGGATGTTGCTCTCCAACCTCCTTGATTCTCCAGCAAACTCTTCATCATTTGTGAGAATTGTTGTTTCCTTAAGCTTTCCACAAACGTTGTAAGAATTCTTATCATATGTAACTTCACAGAAAAATCCTTGAAACACCTCATGGTCAACTTACTATAAATAGAAAGTCATTTTTTTCTATAAAGTGTGTAAACAGACCGTTCTAAAAGAGGTCAAGACTTCCACTGTGTATCCTATAACCCCTCAAAAGGTTTAGAATCAAACTCTTAAGAAGGGTAAGCCTTTATAAGCCAAAAAGTTTTAAAAGTCTATTCAGTCTCCTCTGGACTTTTATCTCACCAGGGACCATCATATGTTTTTGAAGAGATACTTAGTAGTTGGCTATACACTACATATTGTTTTTTCGACAATGGAAAACATAAAATCGATCAGCAATAACTGTGAATCTGACACCATTCACATTAATGGATAAGAGATCGATACAAAGTATACGATGAGATTTACACGGAACTATGGTTAGTAGGGAATAGACAAATATATGACACCTATCGGATCAACAATTAATTACCTTGACCCACATAAGGATGAAAGTGTTCAATAGATTCGAACCATGAAGTGATCATATAATTTTTTATTCATGTACAACTTTAGTTATTACTCCCTAAGATACATAATACATTATGAGTATTATTCTAAGGTTTTTATTTTATTTAGGATGTTATTATATGGACTCCCTCGATAAGTAAGGTAAATCTCTAGTGTGAAAAGAGGGCATTTTCAACAATGACACTTCCATTTTCAACAATGTTACTTCCATTCACTATTAAGGGCATCCCCATCCGTAGATTATTTCTGGGATCATTTTGATGATGTGGAGGATTTTTTGGGATCATGTATGAGGAGTTGAGATTCTTTTATGAGATTATTTGATAAGATAATCTGGTATCAAATTCTAAAGCTGGATTATTTTGAGATTATTCACAACTTTTAGGCTCCTTTTCTCATTTTCTAGGCAACTAATAATAACTAGCTTTGTAGCTCGTGCTCCGATCCATGCCTACGATAGTTGAACGATCTGCACTATCTGTTGCTACATTGATCTACATTAAAAAAGATCTGCACTATCCGGTATTACATTAATAGCACTAACCATGCATGCATGTACTAGTTTTAAATTAAATTGAAGTGCCATTTTAAAATTCAAAATAAGTCCAACGGCAATTCATTTTCATTGAATTTGTGCATCTATTTGATTTGTAAACACTTTATTATCTACTTTC